CTACAGCCAAGATTGCTCTACCCAGCAAAGCTATCATTTAGAATTGAAGGGCAGATAAAGAGCTTCCCAGACAAGAAAGAGCTAATAGCATTCATCATCACCAAATGATTATTACATGAAATGTTAAAGGGATTTTTTAAAGAAAAATAAGATCAAAATTATGAACAATACTACTCAATAAAAATGTGAACACCACTTACAAACTCATTTTTTACACTCTCAAATATATGCCCATATTCCTTTTCCACCAACCACATTTGATACTTCAGTCTGAGTTCTAATGAAAATACTAGGTCTGTATCAACTTTTCATAGTAGCACCAAGCAGTGATTTTATGTCAAACCTCCCTAGGAAAGTAATATTGACCAAAGTGTGATAAGAATCTTGTTTTTATTTGTAATACTTCACATAACATGCTAATCAGTCTCTGAAGCATCGCTTAATGATTGTATTGATACTATTAAAACATGTTAAGAAAAAATACTATGAACAATAAAATGGCAATAAATACATATCTACCAACAATTGAATCTAAAAAACAAACTAAGCAGATAAGAACAACAGAGGCAGACTCCTGGATATCGAGAGCATTCGATGGATGCCAGATAGGAGGGGCTGTGGGGGAATGGGTGAAGAGATGAGGGGATTAAGATGTACAAGTAGGTAGTCACAGAATAGCCATGGGTTGTAAGTGCAGTATAGGAAATGGAGTAGCCAAAGTACTTATATGCATGACTGGTGGACAAGAACAACAGCGTGGGGATTGACTGAAGGAGTGGGGGGTGCTGGGTGGAGGAGGACCAAGGGAGAAAAATCAAGGCAACTGTAATAGCATAATCAATAAAATATAATTTAAAAAATAATAAATAAGAGAAAAATATTTTAAAATATAATGCATACCTCACCTGAATGTGAGGAACTCTCATATTTTCTCTTCTATTTGATATTCTGGTCATGACCCACTTAATTGAATTCATGCTTCCCCTGTGGCCTACAAGGTATCCTGACAGAAGATAAGAAAACTGTGCACATTTTATGATGCTCTGCTTCACTGGAGTGCCACTGAATATCCTCACATCTTCACATTTTCTTTTGAGACTATTTTTTTTAAAAAAATTAAAGAATAATTTATATCCAGTAAAATATACAAATTTTAAGGGACAGCTCTGACTGCTGTGGCTCAGTGGATTGGGCATCATGCTGCGTACTAAAAGGTCACTGGTTCAATTCCCAGTTGGGGCACATGCTTGCGTTGTGGGCCAGGTCCAAAGTTGGGGGTGTGTGAGAGGCAAATGATCAATGTTTCTCTCATATGTTGGTGTTTCTCTCCCTCTCTTTCTTCCTCCCTCCTCCTCTCTCTAAAAATCAATAAATAAAATCTGAAGAAAAAATTCTATGGGACAGTTGGATTATTTTAACAAATGCATGCACTGAGTAATTTTCCTAGCAAGACAAAAATATTTCTATCACCCACAGAAATCCCTCATACCTCTTTCAGTTAAGGTCTCCATTGCTGCCCCTCACTAGAAGAAAAATTATTGATTAATCTATATCATCATAAAGTGATTTTATTTATTTTCAAAATATATTTTATTGATTATACTATTGCAGTGGTTCCATTTATTTTCTCCACTTTATTTCCCTCTGCCATGACCCCTCCTCCCACCCACATCCCCCACCTCTTAGTTTATGTTCATGGGTCATGCATATAAATTTTTTAGCTTCTACAATATCTATACTATTCTTAACCTCCCCCTATTTTGTACCTATAATTTTTGCTTCTAGGCCCTGAATCTTTCCCCCCCATTCTCCCCTTACCCCCTCCCTGCTGATAACCCTACATGTGATCTCCATTTCTGTAATTCTGTTCCTGTTCTAGTTGTTTGTTTAGTTTATTTTTGTTTTGTTTTGTTTTTAGGTTCAGTTGTTGATAGTTGTGAGTTGTTGTCATGTTACTGTCCATATTTTTTTTTTGCATCTTGTTTCTTATATAAGTTTCTTTAACAGTTCATATAATAAGGTCTTTGTGATGATGAACGCCTTTAACTTGACCTTATCTGGGAAGCACTTTATCTGCCCTTCCCTTCAAAATGATAACTTTTCTGGACAGAGTAATCTTGGATGTAGGTCCTTGCCTTTCATGACTTGGAATACTTCTTTCTAGTCCCTTTTGCCTGCAGGGTTTCTTTTGAGAAATCAGCTGATAGTCTTATGGGAACTCTTTGTAGAGAGCTTGCTTGGCTCTCAGGCCAGCTTTCAGACACTTTCCTCACTACCCACAAGCAAATTGGGCCTTTCTAATGCTGGTTCCTGTGTGGGAGGGTGTTCTTGTGTATGTTCTAGGACCATGTGGATATCTCCAACAAACTCTCCTGTGATGCTGGGAGTTTCTCTCACTGCCACAACCACCACAGGTAAATTTTACACTCAGAGCTTTTGGGGCCTTATTTCCCTGAGCTGGAGTCCTGGCTTGCATAGTCTGTCTCACTCCCCAGTTGTTCCTCCCAGTTTATCCAAATGCAAATGTGGGACTGCCTGGTCTGCCAGCTGCCACTTGGCTGCTTGTCCTCTTCACCCTGGCTGCCCATCTCTAGCTCTCCTACCAGTCTGAATGAACATTTCTTTAAATCCTTGATGGTCAGACTGCCATACAGTTCAATTTTCTGGCAGTTCTTGTTATTTTTTGTTTTTAAAATTATTATCCTTATTTTGTTTGTGTGAGGAGGCAAAGTTTGTCTCCCTATGCCTTCATCTTTCATAGAATAATTTGATTAATAAGACTATTTTTTCACAATCTCTGAGCTTGGTCCCCTACTCAACACCTGCTTCTAATCCCCCTGGCTGGAACATTCTCCAATTTGTCAAAGTCCTCCTTAAAGTTATTATTTTTAATGTGCTATATTAATCCAGGCATAGTTGAAACAATCCATAAAAATCAATATTATGTTAAAATTTAGGGTAATAGCATACATAACTCTGTTAACTTATTTGGAGTTTGAGGTCAACTAAAATTCTCAGATCTAAAAAAGTTGTTATAAAACTAACAACTGCTCTCTTTATATTCATAATGTTTTAATTTTAGACCAGAATTTTACTTTTGTGCTTGATGAAATTAATCTTTGTTGTGCTCATTGTTCAAAATATTCAGTTAATTTTAAGTTTTATAATCAAACATTTTAAACCATTCCTCTTGCTTCATGTCATTTGCCAATTTTAAATCACGTGGTTTATAGCTTCATTAAATTTTGATGGAAATCTAGAGTAAGATATATGGAAAAAAGAGTTCTAGGAGATTTACCCCATGCTAGTGTCCTGCAGAGTCACAGGCTGACCTGACTCTGGGGGTGACTCTGCCTCACTGTTCTACCACCTCATTGCTGCTGCTTCATCTTGTCCCCATGTCCTTTTGTCTGGAGTACATCTTCTTTTCTGTCCACACTTCCATCCAAGGGGATGACATTTAGTCCCATAACTTAAGCCACATCAATATATTGATAGGCCCAAATTTATTGCTCCAGCACCTCTCTCTTGAACTCAGATTTATGTATTAAACTGCCTATGTGACATTTCATCTGGAGTCTAACTCTCACCTCAGGCTAACACATCCAAAAACAAAGAATCTCTTTGTACCCTGCTCACCTTACACTAAGTTTCCTATTTTGTAAGTGACATCATGTTCTTCCTGTTCATTTGGCTCGGGTCTTTGGCATCATCCTTGTTTCCTTTCTCTCTCCCTAAATCAAACAGCAAAAACTTGGGCTCCCCCTCCAAATACATCCACTATTTGGCTATTTCTTAACAGTTCAGCTCCTACTACTCTGGGTCCAGTCACAATCACCTCTTGTACAGGTAGTTATGATAACTCCTACCATGCTTCCTCTGGCTTGTTTTCACCCACCAGGATGGTTGATATTTTTCAAACTGATCTCAAATAGGTTACCTTCTGCTCAAGGTCTGTAGTGGTCTTTGCATCAAAGTACCACCTAGAGTCTGTTCTGCAGCCTCCAGGATCCCAATGACTGGCCCCCTGGCATCAGCCTCCTTCCCCTCTTCTCCATCACTTTGCCTTAGATCCAGTCTCCAAGCTCAAAGCTTCCTGGTGCCTTTCCTCTTGTGATCTCTCTAACCCCTCCCTCCTTCCCTGCCTTCCAGACTCTGTAGGGCTCACTCACTTGCTCCTATAGCTTCTCTTCAGACGCTCAGTGCAGTTTATTATTCTTCATCTGTTTCCTTTTGTTCACAGCATTACCACCTCCACATGGTATATATTTATTTTCCCTTCTCCTCTTTTAAAATTTAAGCTCCATTTGTGCTAATATATGTTTTAAAATTTTGTATTCTCAGTGGCTGAAATATTCTCAGTCCTTAAAATAGTGTAGGAACTTAATAAATGTGTGTGAATGAATTAAGTAGATGGACCACTGAGTGTCCCACAAAGAATTTTAGGTAAGAAAAACTTATATCCAGTGTAAGTTTAATAAAAGGCTACTAAAATTAAAATCATTCAAAAAGTAAAAACGTTCTCTGTTATGCATTTTTAAAAGAACGCTTTAAATTTGAACTTAGTCATCTAAAAGATTTAGCTCCAGAGCATTTGTAACAGGAGACAAGAGTAAGCACTGTTCTCTGATTGTCAGGCCTGTCTAGGTTAACCTGGGGCCTGTCTGTCATGCATTACCTGTGCACATTCAATAATGGGAAGGAAGCTGTAGTAGCAGAGACACAAACAGCAGAGTCTGATGACATTTTAATTAACACAGAAAGAACCTGAAGAAGTCTTTCTCTTTGACTAGTTAGGAGAGAGAGTCTTCTAAAGAATAAGTCATTAGCTGAAGGGAGAACCATAGTTTATTTGACTCTAATCCTACATAAATTCTCCAGATTATTTTGAATTTGTTAAAACATAAGAGAAGACAACCACAAATGCTGTGGACAGCAAGAGCTTAGAATTTACAGAGAAATAGGTATAGTGTCTTTCTACTCATCATAAAAGCACTTGCCTTAAACAATTCGACTTTGCTGAGAATGCTGAAGTTCATATCCACTGCAAGGGCTAACTGCATTATGGTGGGCAGGGTCTCAAGCAGGTCTGATTCATCTTTGTAATGGTAAACACATCAATCCACAAAGCAGGATAATTAATAAAAACATCATCAAAGTATGATAAAAATAAGAAAACTACACAAAGTGCCAACTCTTTTTAAATGGAGACAGCTGCATCAAATTCTATTTTCATGACATCTACTGACCACACTGGACTATCACAGTAGCACTGTGATCAACTGTTGATGACATAACAGTTCTGAATAAACCAGAGCATATGTTAGCTGAAACTTTAGGTAGATTTTAGTGGCCATGGGGCAAAGCTAGTAAATAGACAGACCAGGCTAGGAAAAGATGTACTACTTGTATTTTCAATCTGTGGATTGCAGCTCTGATAGCCAAGGAGTGGTGATGAGAACCACGTGGCACATAAAAGTTCAGTTATCTTATTTGTCCTTTGTCACAACCCTAAGGATAAGTTTCTCATTCCTGGTTTGCAGAAAGAAGAGACAGAAAAAGAATTATGTTCAGAGACTGGCTCAGTTGTGCATAACTGGTGGGCAGTTCAGCTGGAATGGAATCTAAAGAAGTGTGCTGAGTGAATTTAAATTATTATTTACTTGCTTATCAGACTTTTCTATCTGTGAATGAAATGATGGGCCTTCAGGCTGATAGACTGTTCCATAAACAAAACTTCCCATTCTGAGTGCTTCTTGTTTCTGAGAGTTGATATTTTTTTTCATCAATTAATCTGTTGTCATTAGTTATTTTTAATAATCAATGTAAAGAATATATGCTGCAAAAAAGGCATGATCTCAACTTTATAGATATAGACCAGAAATGTTATATTCCTTCTTTATTTTTATAGACCCTTATGGTTAATTGTCTTTAAGTTTCTTTCTTTTAAAAAAATATTTATCTATTTATTTTATTTTTTAAAATTTTATTTTAGTCATTGTTCAAGTACAGTTTTCTCCCTTTTACTCCCAATCCAGCCCACCCACCCAACTCTCCCCACTTCCCTCCCATTACCACCCTCCCCCTACTTTTTGTCCATGTCTCCTTTAAATTTGTTCATGTAAACCCTTCCCATTCTCCCCTGAAATTCCCTCTTCTCTCCCCTCTAGTCACTGTCAGTCTGTCCCCTATTTCAGTGACTTTGGTTATATTTTGCTTGTTTCTTTGTTTTGTTGTTTAGGTTCCTTTTAAAGGTGAGATCATACGGTATTTGTCTTTCACTGCCTGGCTTATTTCACTTAGCATAATGCTTTCCAGCTTCATCCAAGATGTTGCAAAGGGTAGGAGCTCCTTCTTTCTTTCTGCTGCATAGAATTCCATTGTTTAAATGTACCCTAGTTTTTTTTTATTGATTCATTTATTGATGGGCATCTAGGTTGCTTCCAGCATCTAGCTATTGTAAATTGTGCTGCTATGAACATCGGGTGCATAGGTTTTTTTGGATTGGTGTTTTAGTGTTCTTAGGATAGGGTCCCAGCAGTGTAATTGCTGGGTCAAAAGGCAGATCCATTATTAGTTTTCTGAGAAAGTTCCATACTGCTTTCTCTTTTTTTTAAGTTTTATTTTAATCATTGTTCAAGTAAAGTTTTCTCCCTTTTACTCCCATTCCAGCCCACCCACCCAACCCTCCCCACTTCCCTCCCATTACCACCCTCCCCTTACTTTTTGTCCATGTCTCCTTTAAATTTGTTCCTGTAAACCCTTCCCATTCTCCCCTGAAATTCCCTCTTCTCTCCCCTCTGGTCATTGTAAGTCTGTCCCCTATTTCAGTGACTTTGGTTATATTTTGCTTGTTTCTCTGTTTAGTTGTTTAGGTTCCTGTTAAAGGTGAGATCATATGCTATTCGTCTTTCACTGCCTGGCTTGTTTCGCTTAGCATAATGATTTCCAGCTCCATCCATGCTGTTGCAAAGGGTAGGAGCTCCTTCTTTCTTTCTGCTGCATAGAATTCCATTGTGTAAATGTACCACAGATTTTTGATCTATTCATTTACAGATGGGCATCTAGGTTGTTTCCAGCACCTAGCTCTTGTAAATTGTGCTGCTATGAACATCGGGGTGCAAAGGTTCTTTTGGATTGGTGTTTTAGTGTTTTTAGGATTTAGACCCAGCAGTGGAATGCAAGGTCAAAAGGCAGATCCATTTTTAGTTTTCTGAGGAAGCTCCATAGTGCTTTCCATAGTGGTTGTACCAGTCTTCAGTCCCACCAACAGTGCACTAGGGTTCCCTTTTCTCCACAACCTCTCCAACACTTGTTGTTTGTTGCTTTGTTTATGATGGCCATTCTGACTGGTGTGAAGTGGTATCTTATTGTGGTTTTAATTTGCATCTCTCTGATAGCTAGCGATATTAAACATCATTTCATGTGTCTTTGGATTTTCTGTATGTCCTTGGAGAAGTGTCTGTTCAAGTCCTCTGCCCATTTTTAGTTGGGTTACTTGTCTTCTTAGAGTGGAGTCATGTAAGTTCTTTATATATTTTGGAGATTAGACCCTTGTCTGAGGTATCATTGGCAATTATGTTTTCCCATACAGTTGGTTCTCATTTTATTTTGATACTGTTTTCTTTATCTGTGCAAAGCTTTTTATTTTGATGAGGTCCCATTTGTTTCTTCTTTCCTTTATGTCCCTTGCTCTAGGGGACATGTCAGTAAAAAAGTTTCTGCGTGAAATATCTGAGATTTTCCTACCCACATTCACTTCTAGGACTTTAATGGTGTCACGGTTTATATTTAAGTCTTTTATCTACCTTGAATTTATTTTTGTATAAGGTGTAAGTTGGTGCTCAAGTTTCATTTCTTTGCATGTAGCTTTCCAGTTCTCCCAACACCATTTGTTGAAGAGGCTATTTTTATTCCATTTTATGTTGCTGCTTCTTTTGTCAAATATTAATTGACTCTAGAGACTTGGGTTTATTTCTGGGCTCTCTGTTCTGTTCCATTGATCCATGTGCCTATTTTTATGCCAGTACCATGGTGTTTTGATTACAGTGGCCTGGTAGTATAGTTTAGTGTCAGGTATTGTGATCCTTCCTACTTTACTCTTCTTTCTCAAAATTGCAGCTATTTGGGGGCATTAATGCTTCCATATAAACTATTGAAGTGTTTGTTCTATGTCTGTGAAATAAGCCATTGGTTCTTTAATAGGTATTGCATTGAATGTGTAAATTGTTTTGGGTAGTATGGACATTTTGATGATATTAATTCTTCCAATCTATGAACACGGTATATATTTCCATTTGTTTGTGTCTTCCTTGATTTGTTTCCTCAGTGTTAGGTAGTTTTCTGAATACAGGTCTTTTAACTCTTTGGTTAGGTTTATTCTTAGATATTTTATTTTTCTTTTTGCTATTTCAAATGGCATTTTTTTTTCTTGATTTCTGCTTCTGCTATTTCATTGTTGGTGTACAGAAATGCCTTTGATTTTTGGATATTGACTTTGTATCCCACTGTTTTGCCAAATTCATTTATTAGGTCAAGCAGTTTTTTGGTGTAGTCTATAGGATTTTCTATGTACACTATCATGTCATCTGCAAACAGTGACAGTTTTGTTTCCTCCTTTCCTATTTGGATGCTTTTATTTCTTTTTCTTGTCTGATCACTGTGATTAAAACTTCCAATACTATATTGAATAGAAGTGGTGAAAGTGGATATCCTTGTATTGTTCCTGATCTTAGTGGAAAAGATTTTAATTTTTGCCCATTGATTGTGATGTTGGCTGTAGGTCTCTCATATATGGCCTTTATTATGTTGAGGAATGCTCCCTCTATACCCACTTTGCTGAGTGTTTTTATCATAAATGGGTGGTGTACCTTATCGAATGCTTTTTCTGCATCTATTGATATGATCATGTGTTTTTGTCTTTGCTTTTGTTTATATGATGTATTACATTTACAGATTTGCAAATATTGTACCATCCTTGCATCCCTGGGATGAATCCCACTTGGTCATGGTGTTTGATCTTTTTAATGTATTGTTGGATGCGGTTTGCCAGTATTTTGTTGAGGTTTTTAGCGTCAATGTTTATCAGTGATATTGGCCTGAAGTTTTCTTTCTTTGTTGTGTCTTTATCTGTTTTTGGAATTAGGATGATGTTGGCCTCAGAAAAAGAGTTTGGGAGTCTCTCATCTTTTTGGATTTTTTGAAATAGTCTTTGAAGCATCGGGGTTAATTCTTCCTTAAATGCCTTGTAAAATTCTCCTGTGAAACCATCTGGTCCAGGAAGTTTTGTGTGTTGGAAGTTTTTTGACTACTGCTTCAGTTTCTTTTGCTGTTTTTGGTCTGTTCAGGCTTTCTGCTTCTTTTTCACTGAGTTTTGGAAGATTATATTTTTTTAGAAATTTGTCCATTTCACCTAGATTTTCAAATTTCTTGGCATATAGTTTTTTGTAGTAATTTCTTACAATCCTTTGTATTTCTGTGGTATCTGTTGTGATCTCTCCTCTTTCATTTCTGATTGTGTTTCTTGTGTCTTCTCTCTTTTTTTCTTGATGACTTTGCTTAAAGGCTTGTCAATTTTGTTTATTGTTTCAGAGATCCAGTTCTTGTATTCATTGATCCTTAGAATTGTGCTTTTAGTCTCTATGTCATTTAATTCTGCTCTGATCTTGATTATTTCCTTCCTTCTGCTTGCTCTGGGCTGTCTTTGTTGTTGTTCCTTGAGTTCTTGTAGGTGTAGGGTTAGGTTGTTTGTTTGTTTGAAATGTTTCTAACTTTTTTAGGTGGGCCTGTATTGCTTTGAAGTTCCCTCTGAGGACTGCCTTGGCTGTGTCCCGTAAGTTTGGGTTGTTGTGAGTTCGTTTTCATTTGTTTCCAGGAACGTTTTGATTCCTTCCCTAATATTATTCTTGACCCATTCATTGTGTAATAGCATTCTATTTTATCTCCAGGATTTTGAGTGTTTTGGGTTGTTTTTCAGGTTGGTTTCTAGCATCAGTCCCTTGTGATCTGAGAAAATGCTTGGTATGATTTCAGTTTTCTTGAAATTCTTAGGGCTTGTTTTGTGTCCTATCATGTGGTCAGTCTTTGAAAATGTTCCATGTACATTTGAAAAGAATGTGTATTTAGCTTCTTTTGGATGGAGCGCTCTGTATATATCAGTAAAGCCCATTTCATGAAGGGTATTTTTCAATGCCACAATATCTTTGCTGATATTTTGTTTAGAAGATCTGTCCATTTTTGATAGTGGGGTGTTAAAATCCCCCACAATAATTGTGTTGCTGTCCATATTTTTCTTGAAGTCGTCTAAGATTGCCTTTATGTATTTGGGTGTTCCTATGTTGGGTGCATGTATATTTACAATATTTATGTCTTCTTGGTGTATTCTTCTCTTGAGTATTATGAAGTGACCTTCTGGATCTCTCTTTATGGCCCTTTTTTTGAAGTCTGTTTTGTCAGATATGAGTATTGCTATCCCGGCTTTTTTTTCCTGTCCATTTGCTTGGAAAATTTGTCTCCAGCCCTTCACTTTGAGCCTGTGCATGTCTTTTATCCTGAGGTGGGTCTCTTGTAGGCAGCATATGTGTGGGTCATATTTTCTTATTCATTCAGCTATTCTATGTCTTTTCATCGGAGCATTTAATCTATTTACGTTTAAGGTTAGTATTGATAGGTACTTATTCATTGCCTTTTATGTACATGTGTTACTCTCTCTCTCTCTCTCTCTCTCTCTCTTTTCTTTTCTTTCCTTAAAGCAGTCCCTTTAGAAGAGCTGGTTTGGTAGAGGTGTGTTCTTTTAGACTTCTTTTGTCTGGGAAGCTTCTTAATTGGCCTTCTATCTTGATTGAGAGCCTTGCTGGGTAAAGTAGCCTTGGTTGCAGACCTCTGGTTCTCATTACCTGGAGTATTTCTTGCCATTCTCTTCTGGCTTGAAGTGTTTCCATTGAGAAGTCAGCTGTTAGCGTTATTGGGGCTCCTTGTATGTTACTTGCTGTTTCTCCCTTGCTGCCTTTAATATTCTCTCTTTGTCTTGAAATTTTGTCATTTTAATTATGATGTGCCTTGGGGTGGGTCTCTTTGAGTTCCTCTTGATTGGGACTCTCTGTGTTTCCTGGATTTATGTGACTTTTTCTCTCATCAAATTAGGGAAGTTTTCCTTCATTACTTTTTCACATAGGTTTTCTATCCCTAGCTCTTCTTCTTCTCCATCTGGTAACCCTATTATATGGATATTGTTACATTTCATATTGTCTTGCATTTGTCTTAATCCCTCTTTATTCTTTCTGAGCCTCTTTTCCTTTTCTTGGTCTTTCTGGGTGTTCTTTTCTACTTGTCCTCCCATTCGCTAATCTGGTCTTTTGCTTCATCAATCCTGGTTTTCATTCCTTCTACTGTGTTCCTCAGTTCAGAAATTTTATTCTTCATTTCCTCTTGGCCCTTGTTGATAGTTTCTATTTTCTTTTTTCTGTTTATATAGTTTGCAGTGAGATCGTTGTAGCTTCCCTCTAGTTTCTGATAGCTCATTGTGAGTTCATTGAACTTCCTGGTAATCATTGTTTTGAAGTCAATATTTGATAGTTGAGTTGCCTCTATTTCATTTAGAATTTTTTTCTGAGGCTTTCTCCTTTCTTTTCAATTAAGGATTGTTTCTTTGTTTTCTGATTGTTCATTGGATTCTTCTTGTTAGCCTCTGTTGTTAAATTGATCTGTTCTGGTTTCCAGTGATTATGGTGTGAACTTCTGTGGTAGAATACCGGTGAGATTCAGTGGTGTAGTCTCCTTCATGTATCCTGATGTTCACAACTTCCCCCTACTCTTTTTTTGTGGTCATTTGGAGGAGTAAGGCAGAATGGTTTAAGACAGCAAGACAGTATACTATGATATTTACATTAGCAGGCAGTAGAGAAGAGATGGGTTATCTTTTGGCTCCTTGTAGTGTTATCCGTGATCCTCCACCCCACTATCCACATTTTAGAAAGGATGGAAAGAAGGTAAGACTCTTATTGGGGATGAAAGGATTGTTAGTTGGATTTAGAAAGCTGTGAGGCTGTGGGAGGTTAGATTCCAAGGTAGGGTTGGAATAAAGATTAGTAAATAGGAGTAGTGTGTAAAGGAATAGAGACAACCCCCACAGTAGTATAGTTCAGGAAATTGCCAACTGGGCTGAGTTAGGGGTGTTGAGTAGTACTTACAATTGTATGAACTATGTCTTATTTACAGTAATATTACAGCAACAGTCTTGTGGAAGAATCAATGAGATCTAGATAACAAGAATAAGGATTATATAACCTTGAGAGTTGTATTAATGCAACACAAATGAAGGCTAGTAAATTATCAACACACTCTGACTGATATAACAGTGGGAACCTATCAAATGATAGTATAACCAGCCAAGCAAAGAAGATTATACAGAGAGAAAAAGAAAACCAAAATACTATTAAAAGAAAAAATGTCGGAAAAGTGAGAAAAAGATAAAACAAATTTGCAGTAACTTGCAAGATCAAAAAAAAAATAAGGAGAAAAAAAGCAGAAGATGGAGTTCAGGAGAGTTAAATTTGGAGTGGAAGGAATAATACTAGGATGACTGGAAGAGAAACATAAGGGATTGAGAGATATAAAAATAATAAGAATTGAAAAATAAAAAGTCACTTAAAACACAAGATAAAATTAATCAACCAACAACAGCCAACAAAACAAAACAAAACAAAACAAAACAAAACAAAACAAAACAAAACCAAAAACCTCTTGTTGGTTTCTAACTGGCCAGACCAGTTTTTCTGATCTTGCTGGCTTCAGCAGGCTGAAGGGCGTTTGAAATGCTTATCACTCTTCCCAGCCAAATCTCAGTAAGTCTCTCGGTACTACCCCCTGGGCCAGCAGGGAGCTCTCCCCAGGGCCAATCTGACTTTCCCCTACAGGACCCTGAGTGCTCCCCAGCACGCTCTCCTCTCCGGAGCTCACTGCCGAGTTCTCCAGGGCTCTGGCCCACCCCCCCCCCCCCGCAGGGCTCCTGTGTCTTTTTGGTTTCAGGATGCAAGCTCCCAGGATTGCAAGGAGACGTGCTCTTCCCCAAATTCCACTGCAGCGAGCTCTATGTTCTCAGGAAGCACCCGCAACCTTTTTGGATTCACGGTGCCATCTCTGGGGATTGTAAAAGGGTGTGCCTGTTCACCAAATTTTTGAGTTTTGGGCTCTAGGAACGAAGTAAGCACTGCGTCCCTTCCGGGTTCACCGGGCGAGAGTCAGGATTCCTGAGGGGGTCCGCACTTCCACAGTTCAGCAGCACAGTCTCCAGAAACCTGAGAACGCCCATGCCCTTTCCTGGATTGGGGTTTCGAGGTCTGGGTTTTCCACTGATCCACACTTCCACTGAGCTGGGGGTGTGGGCGCACTTCCAGGCCACCCCTGGTCATGCCAGCTGGAGGCACTCACTTCTCCCAGGGCTATGGGTGGGTGCTCACAGCCTCTGGGCAGTTTTCTCCCAGTCCAACTGCCCTCTCTGTGCCTTCAAGCCACAAGGTCTCCCCTGGTGTTGCTCAACCCTGAGAGTTGATCAGTTTTGATATTTTCTTATAAACATTTAGAAAGAACAATTGCTACATTATATTCTTATTTGGATTCTAATATGGGTTCCAAATAAGAAAATCCTTTCTGTAAAAGTGCTGCTCCTTGTTCTGGATTGTAGTTTTGGTCTTCAGATTCAGCTCTGTCTATTAAAAGTAGCAGAAATGTGGATAAAAGTCCTACTGTTAACAATTAGGGGTTCTTATCTGCTTTCTTTTAGAACCTTTGTGATTTGAGAATTGCATTGTGATTTGCACTCATGAAACTTTCTGGTCTTCTCAGTGGCACTAATTCCTCTTTGGGAAGGAACAAACTAAAACTTCAATCTGATTTTTATCAATGAACACATTATCTTTTACTTTACATCATTTAATATAAATTATTTTAACTAATAGTCACTGCTATGAATTACTGAGGGTCTCTTGTTAGAGATAGTTGGCCATAGGATGCTGGTCCAAAGCTCACTATTTTTTTCAGTGCTGCACTCCACCTAAGACAGTGACATCTTAGAAAAGACTTGGTTTTCTTGGAGAGAGAGTCTGAGATCCATTTAGGTGTCTGCTGGCTCTGTGACCTTGGCCAGAGTTTCAGCTAGAAGCCTCCATATCCTTGTCTCCTAAGAGGGGTTGAAGACATCTAAATTCCCTGATTCTATGAGGCAATGTGTGTAATAACTGCACCTGGGAGGCACTGAATAAAATTCAGCATTTGCTATCCCAGGATTTGCATAACTAGTAAGGTACAGCTAGATATTTAAGGAAAAAACATAGTATATAATAAACACTTTAGAGATCATTTAGTTGTTTTTCAATTTCTTGTTCAATCCAGTGGGTATCGCTTCTGCTTTCCTGAATGTCCATCACATGACATAATCTGTCACGCTTACCCAGCATCCTTTGAGAGTCCCAGGTGTATTCATATCAAGCCCGAACCTACTTTTGCACAATCTTCAGAATGGAATAAGTGTTCATGTAGGTGATGGTGTTTTAAATGCAGACCCAGAAGCCATTCTGATTGGCTGTCACTGCCCAAATGACATGTTGTATCTAAAACCAAAAATGCAGTCAGTCCACACTTTGCATTCTAATTCTGACAATTTTATTTTTAACACTCTGATATGGGCCTAGATTTTTACCATTTACATAATATACTGGGCAATTCTGACCCAATACTAACAGTAAGACCTGTCTTTTTTACCACATGAAGCTTTTGTGAGAATTTGGTCACATAATACATGACTATACACAATTCTTTGAAAATTTGTGTATACTGCAAAGATGTTAGTTGATATTTTTTTAAAACTAACCAGCTTGTGCTCATGCAAGAAATGTACAAAGAAAGTAGTGCCATTACCTGGCAGCATGGCTAGACTATTTTGTCGAGTCTTGCTTTGAAAGCCTCCTTCATAAATTATCCAGTGTGGTGGCTGTATAGACTCAATTCATCATGAAATTGCAACCTCTGTGCTTCCCTTTGTGTTGTTCAGACAGTTACAATCTACCCTAATCATGCTCAAGGTACAGTATTCAACAGACATTGAAATGTGTTGAAATCACTGAAGCTTCATCTACTACTTTGACAATATTTAATGGTCTGTCAAGCTTTAGTTCTTGAATGTTTATAACTTAGCCATAAAAGCCCACTCTAGATTAAAAGCTGATCTTTAAAGTTTCAGCACAAAAAAGATATATAGCTTGACTCTTCCTCTCACATAGAGAGAAGAAAGCAGTTGTAAATTTGCTTTGACTGTGGACCTATAATATGGAGGAAAATCAGGGCCTCACTTCCACCCTGATGATATTCATTCTAGTAGCTAAGTCTTTTCTGTTTAGGGAGAAGCGGTTAACTCCTTGACACCCACCTCCAATGACTTTATTGTGATACCTCCCTCAGTTTCTCTTTCAGAGTTACTAAGTTCTTGTACTTATGAAAAGTGTCTGCTGAGCAACTATGCAGAGAGTCACACTAGGTACCTGCTTTTCAGCCTCTGATATACTCACTTATTCCAAGTATTTTTCAGTGACCTCAATTCCTACATCTCTTTCTCCAAGCTGTTCTGTACAGATGATGAACATGACTGAGTCATCTAAGGCTATGAGAATTGGGACACTAGGGGTTGGGTCAGTAAATTTAACAGAATTTTAAATTGGAAACCAATAACCATTAAAAGCATTAGTGATCCATGTTGAAGGCCCAGAACTTGTAGTGAAGGTAGTCTGAGTGATTTATGTGCTGGGTTTGATGGTATAAGAGTTGAGGTAGACGTGTATTCATCACATGCTTAGGTTAGGGAAGACTGTGAGGCCATGAGAGGGAGAAAGTGTCAGTCACTGAATTGGATCAGAGATTAGAGTATTGCAGTTAAAATGTGCTGATCAGGTGTGGGTGTAGTTTTTGATGTGGTTATAGGTGGGGATTTTGAATAAGTGGTGCTGTTGTTCCAGGCCCTCTTATTTTTGTTTAACGGTTTGCCTCATTATCTTTACTCACTATGAGAGTTTAATGCACAAATATCTACCTTTTGTCTGTCTTTCTCTTGTGCCTTAGTACTACTGCATTTTCAGTAGCTTCATATTTTTTCCTGTTCTTGATGGAAACTCAAATTCAATATAAAAGCAGATGTGGGTGGTGTATAAAGCACTGCTTCTCAAACTTTCAGGTGCATATGCATCTGAAGACCTTAAAATAAAGAGGTCAACTCCTTAGGTCTTGGGTCTAGCCTGAACTCTGAAATTCCCAAGTGATATGATGCTATTGGTCTGAAGACTACACCTTGAGTAGCAAGAATATTGAACTGGAGCTAGACATAGTTTTTATCTAGTAAAAATTGCCTTGGACATAGTAAGTACTAAATATACTTTACTATTTGTACCAATATTATATCTCTAGCATACAACTGTGTAAATTACACATATGAATTTGAATTGCACTTCTCTCTAAACCAGCCTACTATTTTCAATCATTTTAATGCAATTTCCCTAGTCATTAAGGTTATATTTTATACTAAGAATTTCTAACTGCGTGGTGTTCATCTTCTCAAACCTAAATATTTTTCTCTTTTTTAAAAATTGTTCAAGTACAGTTGTCTCCATCTTCCCCCACCACTCCTCCCACCCCAGCCATCCCCACTTCCCACCCTTGATCCTCCTCCTCTTTGGTTTCATCCATGTGTCCTTTAAACATCCTGAAAACCCTTCCCCCTTGTCCCACTATTATCCCCTCCCACCTCCCCTCTGGTTACTGTCAGTTTGTTCTTAATTTCAATGTCTCTAGTTATATTTTGCTTGCTTGTTTGTTTTGTTGACCAGGTTCCACTTATAGGTGAGATCATATGTTATTTCTCTTTCACCACCTGGCTTATTTCACTTAGTAATAGCATGGATGGCTCTCCAGATCCATTCATGCTGTTGCAAAGGGTAGGAAGCTCCTTTCTTTCTGCTGCATAGCATTCCATCGTGTAAATGTACCATACTTTTTTGATCCATTCATTTACTGAAGGATACTTATCAAACCTAAACATTCTAAACAGAGTTGCTTTCACAACCTCTCTCTCCTCCTATGTTCAGGTTAGAGCTGACATATCCCTGTGTAAATTTATTAACCATATCTTTTATTTTCTGTATTTTGATGTTTTGGTATCTGGGATTCTGTCTTCTGGAGTTAGCTAATTCCTGGAGATAGCAAAAATCTCTCCTGGGTGTGTATCTCCACATGCAAACTAACCCATGTAGAGCCTTCTTTCTTGGGCTCTCACATTCCTTGTCACTATCCACCAGCCCTCATCACCCCAGGGTCCAGGATCAGACAACTAGAGGCAGCTCCTACAGCCCACAAAATCATCTAAACTAACCAATCCTAACCTGGCTTACACTGCTCATTAGTTCCCTCCCTGGTGCTTCTTCCTGCACTCCCCTGCCCCTTGGTGTGATGTTACCCATCCTCTTGAATCTGTTTGTGAAACGAAGTATCTTTGTGATGCCAATTGCATGCTGATACCTAACTAATAATAAAACTTATATTTGTAAAAAGTATCACCCCTCCAAATTATACTATATTTTGATGAATCTTTCTTGAATCTCTTCTTTGTTCAAAATCTTCCCCTGGACAACTTCCCATTGCTTTTAGGATAAAGTTAATATCTTTGATTTAACATTCAGAGCCCTTAAACTATCTTTTCTTTACATATATCTTGAACATTACTTACAATCTTCCTTCCCTCCAGTCTGGTACCCCTTCCATTTCCTTAAACATAAGACAAAGATTCATCTTACCTGTTTTTTTTAAAGATTTTATTTATTTATTTTTAGAGAGGGAAGGGAGGGAGAGAGAGTGAGAGAGAGAGAGAAACATCAATGTGCGGTTGCTGGGGGTCATGGCCTGCAACCCAGGCATGTACCCTGACTGGGAATCAAACCTGCGACACTTTGGTTTGCAGCCCGCGCTCAATCCACTGAGCTACGCCAGCCAGGGCCATCTTACCTGTTTTTTTAAATGATATTTAAAATGCATTCTCTTCCAAAAAATCTTCTGGGAAGCTTCCCTTTTCTAAATTGATACAGTTTTCAGACTACCCTTTGGTACTTAGGATAACAGATCCTTAATATTGATGGATGTAGGAGTTGAGTTTTGATTACGTGTGATCAGCTTCAGATATTAAAAAGAATAATTTTTATTGCTAAATTTTGTTGAAGCATGGATTTTATTCACACCATTGTATGTGTGGTGAATAAGAAGCAATTGTTTATCTAGTGGGAATAACCACTTTGTGGTTATGTCTAACTCTACCAAGCACACAGATTTTGACATGGCTTTTTTTTTGTTGTTCTTAAACATGTAGCATGTAAAGTAACTTCTAAGAAGTGTAACCTGCCCTGGCTGGTGTAGCTCAGTGGATTGAGCACGGGCTGGGAACCAAAGTGTCCCAGGTTCGATTCCCAGCCAGGGTACATTCCTGGGTTGCAGGCCATAACCCCCAGCAACCGCACATTGATGTTTGTTTCTCTCTCTCTCTCTCTCTCTCTCTCTCTCTCTCCCCTCCTCCCTCCCTCCCTCTCTCTCTGTCTCCCTTCCCTCCCTAAAAATAAAATAAATAAATAAAATCTTTAAAAAAAAATAGAAGTGTAACCTATAAAGATACTATGCTTTCAAGCTTTTTTATTTTTGTAAATCTGGGAATTCACAAACATATTGTGCCCTATCTCTTGCAAATGCCAGTTACCTTTCCACAGTTATTTTTTATCTGCTTTACTTTCTTTCTGGAGTGTGATTCCTTGAGAATAAAGATGATGAGATTACATAATGCATGTTTATGAACCAATGATTTATTAATTAAATTAATTTAGGTGGCATTTGTTAACTTCTGCATTAAATTGTTTCTAAAGTTGATTTTAACATAGGGATTTTATGACAATATTTGAAGGTTAAGTAAGAGAGATTAAAAAAAGTTTTAAAAAGTCTTCACCCAAAGATATGCTTATTGATTTTAGAGAGAGAAGAAAGAAGAGAAAGAGAGAGAGAAACATCAATTGTTTCTTCGTGTAAGCACCCTGACCAGAGGTTTTACCTGCAACCTAGGTATGTGCCCTGACCTGGGATCAAACCTGCAACCCTCTGGTTTACAGGACAATGTTTGAATCAACTGAACCACCCAGTCAAGGCAATAAGAGAACTTTTAAAGGTTTTCAGGAAACTCCAAGTAAGAAGTTAATTTAGAAACTTGACTTCCTCTGTGAGTCTAACCTGATACTCATTGAACTCAGGTTTTTTGATAATGGTTTGAAATGGTTTAAAAAATGAAGTGTTGTTGACCTATCCACATACTCCTTCAATTCATTAAAAGAGATGAAAGTTTTACAAAAGCACCATATAGATTTTGATTTTTCCTCTGTAAAGTTTACAAAGACTTGTTAGCTTTTCAAAAATGACAGCATTATTTATCTAGGTTTTCACATCTTAATTTACCCGATCAATTAAACTGGAGAATACAGAATCCAACCCCACCTCAAATTCAGCAAGTGAAAAATGATTTCAAATAAAGTTTGTGCTTCTGGAAGGCCCCCAGTGGTAATCAAACTTTGAACTGCCCAGTAATAACACCTTAGACACCTGTGAAAGGAGAAGATGTACATTTTCTTTTTTACTATAACATTAAAATATCCCTATGCTTAGGAGTATAGATTACTAGTACATTATAATATTTGTCTTCCTAATCAGGATTTTCTTTTATAGGCAGCATTGGGAAATACCATGTGTTCTCATGTAAACTTCTTGATAAACATTGTGAAATGACTCAACAGAACTGAGGAGGGTGTTTATTAGCCATTTCACTTATCTCTTGCTACAAAAAATTACTCCAAAATTTAATGCTATAAATCAACAACTATTTTATTAGGCTCATAATTTTGTGGCTCAAGAGCTTGTGCAAAGACCAGCAGAGACAGGTCATCTATGCTTGTGTCAAATGGGTTCTCAGCTGGAGGGAATGGCTAGAGATAGTTGGGAAGACTTGACTGAGGCCAAGTGTTGGGCTGGAATTTTAACTGTTCTGGGTTCCTCTGTTCTCCACACTATCTGCTTGGAAGTGTGAGATAATAGAAGTTATGGATTGGTCTCTGCCTCCAGTTTTTGCCACAGAGCTTCTGATACTGTTGTAATTTCCTGGGTTATAGGAGTGTTTCTTTGTTTGAATGAAGTGACTCTGGGTGGGCTCCTGGATAGCTCCTGGATGAGGACTGGTCACTGGAAAGACCAAACCATATTAGAAGCTTGGAATTTTCATCTCCATCTCCCATTCTCTTGAGAAGATGGAGTTAATGATGGATCATGCCTCTGTGATGAAGCCTGCATAAAATCCCAAATGAACAAGGTTCCCAGAGCTTCCTGGTTAGTGATCACATGGAAGTGCTGAGAGAGTAGCACCTGGAGAAGGCATGAGAGCTCTGATTTGCTTCCAACATAGTTTGCCCCATGCAGCTCTTTCATCTGAATGTTCTTCTGTATCCTTTATCATATCCTGTAATAAACTGATAACTCTTTCCCTGAGTTCTTTGAGTCACTCTAACAAATTAAGTGAATTCAAGAAGGGGTCACTGGAACCTCTGATCTACAGCCAGTTGGTCAGAAGCACTGGCAACAACTTGGACTTGCTCCTGGTGTCTGAGGTGTGTGTGTGCATGTGAGGGGGCCTGTCATTTAGGACTAAACCTTTAACCTGTGGGAACTGGTGCTGTCCTCTGACAGTGTCTGAATTCAATTAAATTGTAGGACACCCAGTTGTTATTGCATAGAATTGTTTGGTAAAGGGGGAAAGAAGTGTTGGACTGAAGGGAAAGAAATCACACTAGGGAAGAAACACAGCTCAATATGACCAGCATGAGCTTCTTCACAGCATGGTGGTCTCAGTGTAGATGGACTTGCACTGTGGCTGGTTTTCCCCAGACAGTGCCATAAGGCTTGCCACAGAGCTTCTGATACTGTTGTAATTTCTGGACTTCTTGTAACTCAGAAGTCCCACAATGTATTAATCTCTTGACACATTATATTTGTCCAGAGGGTCACTGAGGCCAGTCCAGATTCAAGCAGGGATATTTGAATCCACCTCTCAATGAGAGGAGCAGCAAAGAAATCGAGGCCACATTTAAACTACTATGTTAGTAAATTGTGAGGATATCATTAAGCTCAAAGATATTTATGTAGATTGGAGAGCCTCTTATAATTTAGATCCAATTGTTTTCACTGATGGAATGTAGAACAGGTATATACTCCTCTCTCTTTTCTGCCCACAACTTATTATATTATTGAAGATGTAAACCATGGCAGAGACAGAGGAGAACTAAGTTCTCTCTTAAGAGAAAAATTGCCCTCAGGTGTAATAAGAAATTTACCTAGAAATTTAGTATTGAAGAAAACCAAGTATGCTGAGAAGTGTACTTGATAAAGTTTGCATATTTAACTTGATCAGTTGCAAATGAAGAGACTGAGGTCATTATAGCCCAGATAGTAAGAGAATTGTGAACCAGGGCAACAAATGGGAATATAGTAAAAATTAGGGTGGAACATGGAAGATTCACTTAGCTATGGTGGCTAAGGGTTTCATGGAGCCCATAGTGAGGTGAGAATGGAAATTAGTATTACAACCCACTGTGTGTCTGTGCATATGTATACTCATATATTTATATATAGAAATATATATATATACATATTATATATATATATATATAAATTTTTGTGCATGATCAAGTGTATTATCAGGTATATTCATATAGCTTTGAAAGTGTGGTCTGATCAGATATTCCCACTGACATCTTAAGAACAATGTTTTGTCTATACAAACACCTCCAGATACTGATAGAGAGAGGCATTTGGATTTAGTGGGTGCCAACTTACTATTCCAGGATCCAGGGCCAACACAGAAAAGGAGTACTTTTTACAGAATCCTTCCCTCCTCAACTGGCTTTCATTTATTTGTGTGTGTGTGTGTGTGTGTGTGTGTGTGTGTGTGTGTATGTTTGTGTGTTTGTTCGTATATTTTATATTTTATTGATTATGCTATTACAGTTGTCCCAATTTATTTCTCCCCTTTATCCTCACTCTGTCATATAAACCCCACCCTCCAGCATACCCCCCACCTTAGTTCATGTCTGTGGGTTATACATATAAGTTCTTTGGCTTTTGTATTTCCTATACTATTCTTAATTTCCCCCTATTTTATGCCTATCAATTATGCTTCTTATTCCCTGTACCTTTTTCCCCCATTCTCCTTTCTCCCCTTCCCTGCTGGTAACCCTACATGTGATCTCCATTTCTGTGATTGTGTTCCTGTTCTAGTTTTTTTGCTTAGTTTATTTTTGTTGTTGTTTTACTTTAGGTTCAGTTGTTGATAGTTGTGTTTGTTGTCATTCTACTATTCATAGTTTTGATTTTCTTTTTCTTACATAAGTCCCTTCAACATTTCATTTGCTAAGGACTTGGTGACGATGAACTCATTTAACTGGACCTTATCTGAGAAGCACTTTATCTGCCCTTCTATTCTAAATGCTAGCTTTGCTGGATAGAGTAGTCTTCGATGTAGTTCCCTGCCTTTCATGACTTGGAATACTTCTTTCCAGTCCCTTCTTGCCTGTACAGTTTCTTTTGAGAAATCAGCTGATAGTGTTATGGGAACTCCTTTATAGGTAACTGTCTCCCTTTCTCTTGCTGCTTTTGAGATTCTCTCCTTATCTTTAATCTTGGGTAACTTAATGATAATTTCCCGTAGTGTGTGCCTTTTTGGGTCCAATTTCTTTGGGACTCTCTGGGCTTCCTGGACTTCCTGGAGGTCTATTTCCTTTGCCAGTGGGGAAGTTTTCCTTCATTATTTGCTCAAATAAGTTCTCAATTTCTTGTTCTTCCTCTTCTCTTTCTAGCACCCTTATGATTTGGACATTGGAGAGCTTAAAGTTGTCCTGGAGATTCCTAAGTCTCTCCTCATTTTTTTTGAATTCATGTTTCTTCATTTTGTTCCACTGGGATGTTTATATCTTCCTTCTGCTCCAAATCATTGATTTGAGTTCTGGTTTCCTTCCCTTCACTGTTGGTTCTCTCTATATTTTCCTTTACATTCATTTCTTCCTTCATTTTGAGACCAAACTCAAATCATTACTGTGAGCATCCTGATTACCATTGTTTTGAACTCTGCACCTGACAGGTTGTCTATCTCTTTGTTGCTTAGTTTTTTTCTGGAGTTTGATCTGTTCTTTCATTTGGGCCATATTTCTTTGTCTCAGCACTGCTTTTATGTTGTAAGTGGCAGAGCCTTAGGTTTTCCCCAGGGCTGAACAGCCCACTTTATTGCATTTGGTGCTTTCTTTGGGGAGTAGTCAGAGAGGGAACAATGTTGCTTGCTTGGCTCTCACCCATTTCCTTTACTTCTCTCACTTCCCATAAGTGGATTGTGCCCTTTCAGGTGCTGATTCCCAGGTGGGTGGGTTTGTGTACCTTCTAGGATCCCATGGGCCTCTCCAGTGAACTCTCCTCTTATACTGGGAGTTTCTCCCATCTTCACAATCCTTACAGGATTTTACAGTTAGAGGTTAGGAGTCTTCAGTTTCTGGGTCAGCCAGTCCTCATCTTGCCCTCCCTGTTTGCGACCAGGCTGCCAGTCTCTGCCCCTCCTACCAGTCTGAATGAATGTTTCTTTACTCTTCAGTTGTTGGAGTTCCATACAGTTTGATTTTCTGGCAGTTCTGATTGTTTATTGTTTTAAAATTGGTTGCTATCCTTTGATTGTGTGGGGAAGTGAAGAATTTCCACCTACACCTCTATCTTGGCCAAAACTCCAGGTTTTCATTTCTGCTTAGGTTTGCCACATAGAATATGAGCACTTAAAGTCACCGTGTAATAGTATTTGAACAAAGGTGGTCTTTTTCTCATGAAATAGTTTATAGTTTTCATATATTCAAATAATAAGAAGTTGAAATTTGGAAAAGAATTAAATTGCAGTTGAAGTCAATATTCAAATAAAAACAGATATAGAAAAAAATCACTCATTTTGAAATTTAGACCCTATAAAGAACATGAATTTTTTTTTAATGTGAGGATATAGTAAAAGAAAAACAGTGAAGTCTTTGGTAGGGTTTGAAACTACTGTACTGAGAGGATAAAGATAATGCCACTCTGCAATGTTTTTATAGCAGGCTTCCTTGGACTTACTATAATATTACAGTAAATTTTATGTCAAAGAAACCTACCTTGAAGAAGTATATAATAAATTTTATGGATTGCATTTTAACTTTCAAACTCCTATTTATAATTTCTCATTAACTGATTTATTTTGGTCACGCATCATGGACCCATGGATCTTTTAAAATTAAGATAATTTGTTGAACTCAGTACTACTCAAGTGTGAAAAAGACTAGCTCCTCTTCCTATGAGACTAGCTGTCACCTCCTAAGTCACTGCAGTGTTAACAGGAACAAGCATATGGATTTCTTTCTCTTGTTTTCTTATTTATGGATGTTAAATAATAATCAAGTGTGAAACTTAGGTATTAATTTTCCAGAACTGGAGGGTTAGCCTTAAAATGTAATTTTTGTGTGTATGAAATAGTTTGCTATGTTAATTGGAAG